ATTTAAAACTTCAAAATTCAGCAGTTTTCTTTAGTAAATGACTCATGTTAAGAACTGAGCATGAGTACAACACTGAATTAACAGTCATAGAAAAAAATGTTTGGATGGTTCAGTGGAGTTGAAATGCCCAATTAATTAAGAAATGTATTTATGATACTGTAGTGTCATGTCCATACATATTGGATTCATCATTCTTTTTACTATTTCTGTATTTTATGTTTTTTCTTGACCCAGTATAGCCGGGTCTACTGTACTGTACGTCTCTAAATTTCCTTTAAAAATGTGAGACATTAAATTAGCTTATGGTAAGATAAGTCAGTTAAATGAAAATACATTTAGACCTTGAAATTGTTGATAACTGCATTTTTTCATTGAGCACAAACTCTGCCTCCTGGATGTGAGTGCAGGTGAGACGAAGTGTTGTGTACAGTATGTAATCAGATCACATCTTCAGCCAATAGGACAGAACAGGTACTGCTCTAGCCTCCCTTCTCTGAGATTCTTCAAATGTGGCATGCTTTTTCAGGTATTGTTGAATTTTTTAAGCTCTCCATTCTATTGTTGCTGAAATTGATTTCCAATTTTTAAGTCTTTGTGAAATGATAATAAGAGGCTCTGAATGGCTAAGGAGCAAAAATCCAATTGCTTTGAAACTTTTTTCTAGATAAGAACCACTTTTTCAGAAGCAGTAAGTGCTCATCTTCTTAACCTCCATTTTGCAAAGAATAACGCTAAATAATAGTGTGTTTTGACAAAATGTGTCTTATAGACCTTTGTGATTTTCTGTATATATTTATGTTGCATGCATGTGACCTATATCCTTGGCATTGGTTTACTTGAGATGGAATAATTCACATAAAAATGCCAATTGAAAAGAAAACATTAGTAAAAGCCGGTAAGATACAGGTAGCATTAAAGGTGAATTTACTGATCATTTGTGGCTTCATGCTAGAAACCTGGCCTCTTGTCCATTTTTAATTTCCTTGTCCTTTATATTGCTACTTAATCCATGAAGATTTATTTTAACTGATAATGTATGATGCCAGGGGATAAGTCAATTTTGAAAAATTTGAAAAAAAGGATGGACATCCAGTCCTTATGCAGTGCTTAATACTGTGCTTCAAAGTTTTAAAACGGTGTCTGTGTACTTTATTGTCATTACATTTGTTGAAAATATGAAGAGCACTCTTTTCCACTGCTTTACAATATAGCTGTGGGGCAAAGCGACCTCTTGTACTTTTGTGTAGCTGTGCAAATGATACAACCTTGCAATTAACACCACGGTGAAAACATATTCTTCTACTTTGTACATAGATACAAAATAAGCTATATCATGTACAGTATACAGCTGATGTTCCTTTTTATTTATGGTGTGGTATTTTTATTATGGTATAATTCCAGAGAAGCGTGATTTTCATCAGTCCATGCCTCAAAGATAGCAGATGGCTGCATCCATTTCACAACTGACCCAAGGATTAACATAACTTTCTTTTTAACAGAATAATTTCAAATTAAATGACTTAATTTTTTTAATTTTTCAATCCACAAAAGGTTAAACTCTGTTTAGAAAGGAGACTATAAATACATTTCATTAATGGCAACATACTTGTTAATAAAGTATATGCAACAGTGTTAATTCCATTTGTTTATGTTGCAGTTCATAGACAGTCCATGATCTAAAATGTCACTTTGGTTTCATTAGAGTAGTGTTTTTCTTATAAAACATGTTGAAATGTGTCACAGAAATGAGAAGATCCAAAGAACTGTTGCTATAGCCAGTTCTCTTTGACACTGTTCATTGTTGAAATTTGGTGGTTATTTTTTAATGTTTTTATGTACAGCTGTGTACTTTAGGTTCTCTTCATAATGTATGAATTAATAATTACATGTGGTCCCCAAAACAAGTCTAGTGTCAAGACTAAAAGAGCTTTGTCTGCTGAGTTGGAATGTGCTTCAGTTGCTTCATATCTTACGGTTGACAAATCATCTGGTTGTAAGAATTTACTGCAAACTGCATGACGGGCTTGTGTGTAGTATGTTGCACCAGTTTAAAGATCTTTTCTTAGTTATGCTTTCTAGCAAATAATCATTAAAATTGTAATGAAATGCATTTCCAAGATTTTGTTAAATCCAGCATAAGTTCATTAAAATGATTGCACATACTAAGAACATATTATTATTGTAACATATTAGAACAATTTATATTTTTTTAGGGATGGACACTGTGAACCTTCATATCCTGCTAAAGAAAAGTGGACCAACGAAGGGAACAAAAAAAGTGGACAAACGAGTTGTGAAAACATCTCTGAATATAGCAGCAACTGCTGATTAAAGGAATATACATCAAGACTCCAGCTTGATTCCAAGTGGACATAGCCTACAGTATGTTCTATGTCTGTCCAAGTTCATGTGTGTTACATGAGCTGTCAACAGCATTTCAGCTTACAGTAAGCAAGGTGAAAAATTATGATAATTGCTTTATTTCATAGATACCTATCCCTTTAATTTTAAAAATACCAAAGCAAGTCAATATGTTTAGTTGTACTACTTTACACTTTAGTTGTTCATTTACACTAAAATATTTACCTCTTTGGTATTCTATTTTTATTCTATGAACTCAAAATTTTGATTGTTGAGTCTTTGAGATGTGCTGATCAAATGTATAAAAGCCGGAACTATTTTCTGTTAACAAAGGAAACTAAATGAAACTATCGTAGAAACTACGGTACTTTGTGTCAAGAGATAATTATATATTTAAAAAATAAGAAATGGCTACTTTAACAAATTTAAATTTAAATCTAATTTTACTTAAATCATCTCTATGATTTTATTAATTTGAAATATTACTCACTTTTTGTGTGTTAGTTAATTTTGTGATTATTTACAGAAGCTACCAGGCCTAATCACCTCATCCTTAAAGCCCTTCAAGGTGTCATACAGTACATCTGTTTAAAGTACAATAAACATAAACCATGTTTGAAATGTCTTGACAGTCAGACTGGATCATGAATTATTAAACATGTATAGTACTTTATGTAAAACAGAGTAAATGACATTAAAATCACAGTAGAGTGTTTGGTCAGTTACTGTTACCATGGTAACAATATTAGCTCAAATCCATAAAGATATATATTTTTAGTGATTTAAAATTATATTTATTCTAAGAAACCTACAAGAAAAAGACAATGAAAAGCCTGCAACAGAAAAATTGTCGTCCTTCATCAGGTATCTGTTTTCTTTATGGATGGTATTTCTTTATCTGCTACTTCCTAACATCCGATAAGTCTTCTTTTGGACATTTTACATGTACTGTAGGTTTATAATGGAAGTAATCATTTGTGCTTTTGAGTATTGTGTTCTCCCCATGCATACTGGTGCTTCAATTATAAAATCTTTGCTGTGTCTGTTAACAGATTTTTTTCCCAGTGAGGTGTCAGCCTCACAGAAAATGGGCACCTCTGTACCAGTCAGGGCAACATCATATTGTGCCAACATTGAGTATGAATGGATTCTGGCACATCTTTTTACAGTATCTATAGAATGAATGTGACATGCCTTCTTAAGATTGCCAGCAGTTTTCTGCAGTGTTGTGACAGTCATAAGAATGTATTGGGTAGTTAATATTCCTTTATAGAACGGTAGGTGTGACTATCCAGTAGCTCAAATCACAACCCCCCACAAAAGATATTAGGGACCCACTATATGCAGAACCTGATGTGTAAGATTCCATTGTTTCAAATCTTGTATGTTTTTTTAAATATTTAGATAGGATCTAATAGTGTTTGTAATTTAGAAAGATAGAAAGATGAGTGATCACTGAGGTTAGAAGATGTATTCAGGTTAAGGAAACAACAAATGATCAATATCTGTACTAATATACTGTGACCTAAGCACATAAGGCAGTTTTACTAATACAGTTAATGACAGCAAATGCAGAATATGTTGGTACATACTGCAAAGTATTGTTCCAAATTAAATAATGCATGCCTGACATAAATTCTAGCATAAATTGTTTCTTTCTAATTAAAAAAGTTGAATAATTAACTTATTATGAATGGGTAGATATTCAGTCTCTTGTTTCTTCACAAGGTAAATTGAATTCAAGTTCTTCTGTTGAACCTGTTAACAAGAAAATCACAAAGTACAAATTTAGTACCAATAGGCTGAACAGAAAGCAGTATTTCTGTATGTGGTAACTGTTTTGTGTTTACAGTTATGGGATAACAGGTGAAAGCAGCTCTTCATACAGTGCTATTCATTCTACAGTTAGGTTTTTATTGGGATGTTATTTTTGTGGTCTCCAATTAAAAAAAATAAACTAAATGCCTGTAGATAGTATGAGAAGCTTTTTGTTGTTGCTTAAGATAATCTTTTATTTCTTTGATAGAATTAACTCATTGTTCAGTAATGGTGCAATGTCCTTGTATTTTACATGTAATTAGACTGCCAATTAATAGGACCAATATACATTTTGCCAGATCCTTTCCTTATGATTCCTGACACAGAGTTTCTTTTATAAATCTAAAGAAATACATTCTCACCAGCTGAGCAATTTCTGTCACTCCTCCCTGGCCTTTGTCTACCCTTTTCTACGAGTTGAAAAGACAGAAAGAGAAAAAGCCATACCCAGTATTCCCTGCTGAGCCAATTCTTCCTCTATAGAAATGAGACGGCTGTATTTAGTCACCCGCTCTCCACGACGCAGACCTCCCAATTTGACAAACCTAACTCCCAATCCAACGGCCTGAGGGTATAAATACACAAAGCAAGGATTATTGCAACAGGAAATGTGCTTTCATTTCATTACACAGCAGTGTTTTAGAGCTAAATAGCTATCTACGTTTTTGGGATTTATAGGATACCTAAAGTTGATACTTCTAATGTTACCTGATGTATATCCAGTAGGAAGCATTTCTTATATTGAAATATGCATATGTTTATGTGTGAACACACATCAGAAATCCAGAATTCTGTATCCCTTCTGTTAAGGATAACTGTACTTACAAGATCTGACAGAGCATCATCACAAGGTTCTCCATCTGTAGTCCCAGTGACAGTTATATATCTTTTACCTGAAATACAACATCTGTCATCTCTTATCTAATACCACCATTACACAAGAAAACAATTTTTATAACATATTCAGTATTGTGTAACCTGTGCAATAACTACATTGGAATCTACTTAGAACAGATTACACAACTTTTCAAATTTTGCTTTCATTTCACATTTGCTTACTAAAATTGTGCTAATTTTAAAATATAAAAACAATTACACTTGACCTTTATTTTAAATGTTTCATAAAACATTGCATATTAGCAGCATGATCTCTTGAACAATAATTACATTTCTTGATATTTCCGGAGTTCTTTTGCATTCAAGTGACCTTTTAAGTAGAACAAAACCTAGTGTTCATCAAATTTATTTAGTTTTATTGGTGTTTAGTTTTAGGCACATGAAGTCCCTTTAGACTTCTTTTTGTTCTGTTCTGTTTGCCATTTAAAAACGCCAAATAACGGCTAAATATAAGGCAAGTCAAGCAGTGTTTAACTTCATATCTTAGCCTTTGAGATCAAACTCTCAAGTACAGTTTACATGTCATGCAGGACACTTGTCCCAGAGCCCATTTATCTCTTACACATTAATCTGTAGACATGGTGGTTGTTTCATGATTCCTAAAATGTTCCCCAAACTGGGAATAATTGCTATCCCATACCCTTTTCATTATACCATTTTTAAATTATAGAAATGGCATAGAATTAAAATTGTGTTACCTAACATCTCATAAATACATAGATGTATTTTTTTCTAAACTCTTTCCTTGTTAGATACATCTTTCTTCACAAGACAAGCCTCTTTCTAGCAAACATTAATAGCTCTTTGTACTCTCGTCATTAATTTTGTACTGTTGTTGTCATGTAATTTTAGAAGAGCACTGTCATACCTGATTAAACCGTGCTTGGTGTTTTTGATTTGCATATGGAAGAGGTCTATGTACAGTACATCCAGGACACCCAGATAAACATTATCTACATTTAACTAATTTTGTCACCCACCACGCCCGTTACACAAAAAGAGCAAATTCTGTCATTCGTAATGCTCTGTGAATACTACATCTCTTTATTAAGAGTGATGCATATATCCTTGGCTATACAGTTAAAATAGAAACTTTAAACTTAATATTGAAATGATTTTTTAGTTAATAAAAATAAATAGGTGTATATTTGTGATATTAAAAGAATAAAGCTGCCATCTGGTGATCACAGTGATTAAATATTTCAAGCACAACTTGAGATAAACGAATACTGTACATTCCTTACCTTCCATTTGCTTGGTGACTTCAATCAAATCACAGACAGTTGTGTGATTGGTCTGTTTCAGGACTAAACCATTAATGCCAGCCATGGCCAGGCTATCCTCATTTAGATGTGAACAGATGGGTTTTAATGCAAATTCAGCAAGAAGATAGCATCTGTGACCAATAGTAGTGTACAGCTTGTCCCACTGTTCCCGATCCTGTTTCAAGCAAAGTACAAAGTTGGATCAAAAATCTGTGGATCAACTGCATTTCATCTTCTTGCACATAGGAAACTGTGAATGTTTACAATAGTAAGCTGTTATTCCAGTTCCAGTAGCTTTCTAAATCTAATCACTCAGTAACCTTTTCTTTTGTGTAAAACCAAATTTGTGACATTAATATTTAAGGTTAAAATGCATGAGGAGAGAAAATACATGAGTTTGTCAAATGAAAAAGGTTACACAAAAACAAACTATATCAATATGAACCTGCAGCTGCTAAAACATATTTGAAAAGAGAAAGTAAGTGTGATTTACCTCTTTTCTCAAAGGATCAATCAGAGCAATAACTCCTGGGTATCTGCTTGTTAATTCAACATACATGTCCACCATTTCATCAGGAGACTTGGAGGTTCCTATGGACACTTCATATTTGCCTTTTTGCTGTGGTTAAACAAGGTAAATGTGAACTGTTTATATTTTTGCAATTCAAAGTTTGAAGTTTATTTTGTAAAATGATTCAATTGATCAGTTCCACAAATTTAAACGTGTTTATAGCATTGGAACTGTTTTTATGTGCTCTACCTAAAGTTTAGAAATCTTATGATAGATATTTTTTGTACTTAATTGGAATTTCCACTTACATAGTCCATTAGCTTGTGTGCAGCACAGTTTACTGCAAGATGAATGTCAGTCCCAAGTGTAAGCCCAAGGCTGCTTACTGTCTCTGTAATAAGGTCTAATGGCTGTTCAAAACGATCATATCCGACTACTAGTGCCCCGGAATCTGAAATTGTATTTGGCACAGGCTGCAAAAGAGCAAAGAACACACTTAACGTATCATTTATGTGGGTTAGAGTTTATTAAACATCTGCATCTAGTGCATCTAGTGAGCATATTAAACATTTATTTCAAGATGTGAAAGGACTGGAAGTCATTTTAAATGAATGGCAAATGGCACATCATAGTAAATGAACTCTTTCTTAAACAGTAAATAAAAAATTAAATAGACCAATATATCTAAAATCCAAACTTAATTTATTAGCATCCTTTGCTCTTTTTCTTCACTGTACTATAGTGTTACCTCTGATTTCCTTACAAATTTAACTTACAACTGAATTATTAAAATAATTACTGGTTAGTTTCAGTAAATAGTCATTACTTTCATTGGTTCAATACTAAATAACTTTAAGGTAACCTTACATTAGTCATTCTTTAGTGTTATATGATTTTTTATAGTACAAGACACATTAAACATCTTTATCATGAACAGATGTAATACTACCTACAGTAGGGTGCCATAGAATCATCATATCATGCGCATTCACAATATTGATGGAAAATAATACTGCTTTTGTGTCACGGTATATAAAAGAAATTTAATAGGTGTAATTTACTATTGGCATCCTGCCATTCATCTGGCTAAATAATAATCTGCATGCCATCAAATTGGATAAAATGCTGGGACTGGGTAAAGCATTAGATTCTGACATAAAACTAACATTGACGCTGGTGACGAAGATATAAATGATGTAAAATGTATATTAAACTAATATCAGATTGCAATATCATACTGCAATATTAGAACATGCATGTCAGAAGTGTAGGATATTCCTTACCCCTGTTTTTGAAGCACACTTCATTATTCTTCCCATCTCGCTTCGAAGCTCAAGAAGTATTTTAAAATTCTGCTCAATCAAAAAGAGGCAGTATTTTCAGATAATTCAAACATGTTTAATATCATTTTCTTATTAGCTATTAGCAGCCAAATGAGCCAGAAGGCCAAATGGCCTCCTATCACTTGAGATAGAAACCTTGTTTATGTTTTATTCAAGATTTAAGTGTAAAATATAGAATGCCTTTCAAATTAAGCACTTTTTCATTCAGATCCAATCAACCCTCCAGATGGGTATGCTTAGGCTCCTTTTCTGTCAAGTGTCATTATTGACAGTAACTTCAGCTAAATATATATAAAACGTTTTTGCAAATCCACTAAAAATATTGAAAGTTCTGACTGTCCATTGTTTAAAACCTCCCTTGGAAATATTATTTTCCAGTCTACAGTAAGTAATTCCAAAATGAGATTTATATACATACATATTATTAGTTCAGAAATACCTGTCTATAAAACAATAAGGATTCACAAAAATGTTACAAACGTTCTCAGCATTAAGAAGAAAAGATCATAAGATACTGTACTTGTTTAAACCTTTGCCCAGGTTTTGGGATGAGAATTATTTCATCCATAAGGTTCAGTTTTCCAGGTGATGATTTTCCACAAGAAAGTAAAGTTACCATGGGCAACGGAATGTGGAATTCCTTGGGACACTCCTGGAGAGGAAGAACCACAAAGGTACTTGATTTTCATTTCCTTTTTTGTCTTGAGTTTTCCAGATTTCTACAATTTTCTTATTATACAGTATGCAATTAAAATTCTTTACATTGTGCATTAATTGTGTCCTACAGCGTTAACAATATAGAAAACAATTAATATTGTATTTTGTATTTCATACGAAAGTTCAAGTGAACTAAAGCAGTACAAACAGGAATGAATACGAACTTGGCTGTGTTTCAGTGATGCTATGTGCTGGTAGAGGGGAATGCCTTTAAAGTGTGCTGCAGCCTTGGCTACAGCAAGTGACACAGCTCCTATGGCCATACTGCCAGGTAGCACCTGCTCTGGTGGCTCAGCTGGAGGAATGGGCTTCTCTTGGTGGTTGTTCTTTTTCCCTGGAAATGTAAAAAACACTAAAATATGAGGTCTGAAATGGACTATCTTATTATTTTCACTCTCACGTCCAAAGTTAGTTTTAAATTTACTGATTAAGTAGATTTTTGTGAAGTTGTGTATGTAAATGCTGTTGTAAAGTAAGATATTTAAACACACATACGGATAGGATACGTTTTATGAAATCTTTAATTTGGTACAGAACTGTAGCTATAATGTAAATTAATCAGTTTAGTATTCATTTGAAAGTGAAAGGCCTTACTCTCACATTGAACATTTCTGTAAATGTAATTTACTAGTATTCTTCATTAAAAACCATGATGAAGTCAAGATTGCTTCTCCTCCCTCATACTGTATTTCTGTGAAACCTGGGACACTGATGAAACAATGTCATTACTAACTCATTTGTATTTAAAACTGATGGTGAACATTAACAATATAAATAAATAGCTGGACCAATAACAAGAATAAACGTAATCACTGAAATACATTTCTTCTACAGATGAAAGTACTTAAAAAAACAATTGCATAAAATGTAGACTTCTGAACTTCCCAAGTTATTTTTACATAAATCTGGTACTGAATTAGACTTATTTGTTCACAATTAGCATCTTGCTTAGTATGCAGATCTCATTGGGATTTGTAAATGCTAGGAGCAAAAGCTTTAGCATGCTACTGTAGTTGTGGCTTCCCGTTTTAGTGTATGCAACAACAAAGATTTCAGCAGCTGCCTCATCTGACCTCCTTCATCCGCAGTTCTGAATCTAGCCCTATTCCTTAAGAGGGCAGCTACTGAAAAGCTGTTCCCTGTCCAAACCGTGGACAACTACAGTAACATGCTTATGCTTTTGCTGTTAGAAGAATACGTGTTGACTCCAGTCTATAACGATTGTATTGAAATGACTTTTATACTTTTATATACTGTATGTACATGTGCGTGAATGAGATTGGAATGTCTACATCTTTAAGAACTATTATTAATGTAGCTGTTAACTTCAAACTAGAGGAATTGTTCCCATTAAACATTCCATTATATTTTTCCCTTAGACATGGAAGTAGAAATTGAATTAAACTATTCATACAACAGCCATACTATTATGCTGTTTTTTCATTCTACATTCAACCCATTTGTCCTTTTAGAGTGCATTGCAATATACAGTACATACAATCTGAATGTTGTGTACTAAGTTGTTTTACCTTCAAACAGCATATTTTCTCCACTCATACAAATGCCACAAATAACACCTTGTTTTTATGTTATTTCTGAAAATTTCTATATTTAACTAAGAACCGTGTGGAACTCCAGGAACATCTGAGAGCCACTGACTGACCTTTGGCGCTGGTCTTTTTGTCTTTGGAAGCTGTGGGTGGCATGGGTGGTGGGGTGGCCTCAGGAAGAGATTCAGAGAGCCGTTGCTCCTCCTTTTCTCTGCTCTTTCTGTCCTGCTCTTCCAGAGAGCGTGCAGCAAAAAAATCACTGCAACAGATGACACTTCCATTTGGCCTTCATCCAAAAATCATGTTTGAACTGTCATGCAGAAAATGCAATCTGTTTACTCACATGAAGATCAAGATATGTTTCTGTTACCATCCTCTCAATATTGTATGCTGGTAAGAAGCGGACTTATCAGCATATCTTCAAATATGATAAAATACAGCAGTATTCAGGTATAGGTAGAAAATACCAGAAAACTGTGAAACAACCACCATATTTTACAAAATGCATGTTTACATTATTTTAAAAATCATACCTATATCCCCAGTTTCTAAGAATCTACCCTGAAGCAGAGTCTTAATAAAGCACTTTCAATAAATCCATCCTTCTTTTAAAGGAGGCCCCTCTTGAATTGGACCTTCTTAAATTATGTTGCATGTAACGCATATACTGCATTATTGGTTAAAAAAAAGATCATCACTCTTACAGTACATACTATATCAAACATATGTTTAAATAAACTGGATGGTTAAAATATATCTTTTATATGCTAAGAAAATGGATTTTATTTGGTTTCAAAACAAGATAATCTTTAATAAAATCAATGAAGGACGCAAAGTGAAAACTAGTGGCTTTTTCATAGGTCATTATAGAACTGAGTACTGAACCTCATGTTTCATCAGGAATTCATGTTAGGTTTAAAGAATGGAGAATGATTTGCAAAGCTTGTTTCTTCAATGATAAGATCTGCTCTGACAATCAGCAGAGACATTAACCTTAGGTGCCATAACTTGTAATTCCAAAGAACCATATAATTCAATTCAATTGAATATAATATAATATAATTCAATTTCATTACAACATAATTATTTGATACTGAATAAAACCAGATGATTTGTTTTTCTGTTCCAAGTGTTTTGGGGTTTTAACATTAGAAATTGGTCATTTCATTCAATTAAAGTGCAAAACTAATGATTAAACCCCACTTGCTGTATATACATAACACATACTTATTGGTCTCGTAAAAAGAAAATGCTTATGAAATTTTTTAAATATTTTTCTAAAAACTTTCCCTAACTATCTTTAATATTCAAATTAGTTGTTCCCATATGCAACAACTTGTCATTGCCATTTGCCTGTGAAAGAAACACTGAAGCATATCCGTACTGTAGCTGTTGCCCAAAAGTGGTGGGAGTGGTTACTATCACTGGTGTTCCAGCCAGGTCCTTAAGACCATTGAAGATACAATCTGCAAACAGATCAGTGACCTCACGTGTGTCATGCCACACAAGCCATCACTGTTATTAGAGCTGGAGAACAACTCAGGCCAATTTTAGCTACGTATTTTCTTGAAACTGCAAGAGACTGGGGTATAATAGATGAATTAGGAAGGTAGTTAAAGTTCCTTCAGCACGTCAAAGGCATGTGCTAGATGTGACCGTCTACCTTAAGAGGTAGAGGGTGCATTTCAATTATATGGTATAAACCTATGACTTGACAGAGACAGAATGAAGAGGTTCTGTGAGACCCAGATAGCAGAAACAGGAAATCCTGGCTGTCAAAAATATTGGCCAGAGGTCAGGTCAGAGAAGCTGAAAGATTACCAGATATGCATCTCATTCCCTTACAAACCTTAAGAAATACAGATTTAGCAGGATTTATGTAAACATGAAATGTATAAAAACTGCAGAAACATTCATTCTATGGCAATTGTGCTATGGTAGCTTCCATGCGTTGCAAACGTATCAGGGTATGAATCACTCTAAGAGATCTTGGATGGTGAAAGCCCGTTTATTAGCCTCTACAGGTGCTGCAGTAAATAAAGTTGAAAATCGCTATACTGGTGTGTCCTGAGAGTGCAACTTGTTATGCTGGACCTGACTAAAGAGAAAAGATAGAGGTGGTGAATAAGGTGGTGATTACTGCAAGCAGGGCTGGCAGACCAGGTGTACCCATCAAGTAGACCATAGGAAATTCAAATATCGGAAAGGCAATCCATCCCTCTAAAATACCTACTACTTGTTAGACATCACAGGGGCAAATAGGAGAAGAGCCCTCAGCAATGCTATAAAAAAAATGACATTTTAAACAATAAAACATTAAATTAGGGAATAATAAAACTTGGTTGCCAACAGAATTTTGGCTGCAAATTATTTTTTTTCTTTTTTATCATTTAGAATATGAAATTACTTTTCATTACCTTCGCACTCAATATGGAAATGCAGATTGGTTCTTTACATCTGCAGTGAGCTATACCATATGGTGGAGAATGAGATGTTGTGTCTTTCACAAACATCACTGGAAGCCTTAGATGTCTGGGAAACCACAGATGTCCTTTTACCAAGATGAAGTAAAAAATAACATGATATACCATTTTACATTTATCAGATAAAATATTGCAGTTTGTTCTTTGAGCCAGTATGTTCCGTGATCCTCAATTCTTTTGGAGAATCATCTTTGGAAGAGTAAAATATGAATACCTTAGTAATTTATCCACTCCTGCTTGGTCAGCAGGTTCATACCCCTTTAACATTGTAGTTAGAGACTCATTGATCCATTGAAGTGCAGTCAGAACTGAATCTTTCCTTTTGGCGTCATCATCAAAAACACTGGCATCTTGCACACTATAATCTTGGACTGCATCAGGACTGGATATCACAGCTGAGGATACTATCTAAAATAAAGGAACACATTTTAGAACTGGGTTTCTAGAAGGACACTCGTATGTAAATGAACTGCAACTTATTTTGCATGTCAGCTGCCACTCACTGCTCCTGCTCCTCATTCAAACATACTGTAATGTTAAGCTGTGGGAGGCTTACAAGGTACAAAGGATAAGCTTTGGACAAAGCTAATAAAACTTAATTCACTCACACACCCTAATGCTTTGGACACTGACAGTCTGATTAAGTGATAGGTTGCAGTGTGTAGTTTGAGAAGCATTGCACTGTATCTGGGAATAAATGCAAGTGATAAAATACATTTGGGATATACCATTACACTGTGCCTAATGAAAGAATATACTGTACTGTATGCGTCTAAGGAGATTCACTGCATGCAAAGTTCATAGCAATGCTGTATACTGTGCTTTTTCTCATTAATTTCTAAACAGTTCTATGTTCTGCTGCCTTGGTAATTTGCTACAGTTTCTGCTTAAATGACTTGATCTTGTAACAGTAAGTTCAAGAAAAATTGGTTCTGATGACCTGTTTTTTAACATTTTAACATGAAGTTATCATAGCTGTCCTTTACTGTCCTTTTTCTTCCATTTTTTGTCAATTTTTTCAAAATTTGATATTAAACCTGGAAAGTATTTGTGTAGAGAAAATATATTAAGATTATAAAATTTAAGTGGCATTAAATAATTAAACAAAACAACTCCCGTCATTTGTAAATACTTCTACTGAAACACTGTTCTCTTTAGCAAACACCTTATTTGATTTCCATTTACTCAAAATTACTTTGCTTTACTGCTGTTAAAGACTATAAATCATGGTTTTCGAAGTGCTATTGTGACTGTTTATTATGAAAATGAACTTGCCTTCAAACATGATTTTTTTTATTTCATTACATGTTTAATTTCTCATTGCACCATAAGTTAATTGCACAATGACCAGAACAGATTACAGTGAATTTGTTAAAAGTGACATAATTTAATTAACAGTACAGCAGCAAGAATGCAATATAAAGATATTTAGCACTATGATTTACCTCGCTTGGCATGTGCTTTGATTGGCTGAAATCTCTGAGTTCACATGTTGGTTACTGCTGCTGAGGCAGCCAGCACTAACATAGTCACCCCACACTGACCTGAAGCCGGCAGCATGGTTTGAAGGGGAAGTATCTGAGTTAATCACTAACCTTGTAATTCTCTGTCACTCAGA